AAATATGCTCTATAACAAAATAAAACATTTCTAAAATCAATAAGATAAATGGCTAAAATTGAAAAAAATCTCCCAAAGAATTAAAATCCTGTTTGCCTTTTCAATAAATCTACCTTTTCCTATTCTGGCTATTGCACTGTGGTTTTCCATACCAGTGAAAGTTCTTTAAACAGATACTTCTATGGATATTACTTGAAGGAATTAGGTCATCCAAAATTTATTTCTTCATGAGCAATTTGTAATACATAATCTGGATAGCTAAAAGAATGTAGGAAATACAAAAGAAATACATGATGAAAAATAATACCCAAATTAAAGACTTGAGATGAGAAAATAAAAAGCATTTAAGTGACAAACCAAACTTTTATTTAAAGATATTAAATTTATAACAGCTTTTAAAATTTAGGAGTTGACTACTTCAATTACAGTTTTTAATGTAATACTAAACAGCTCATGTACCACTGTCTGTATCTTTTATTTCCTGAATCTCTACTTGATTTTGATTAGTTTCAGACAGAAAACTCCTACAAACAAGCAGACACCTGAACATTGGATTTTTTACTTTTTCTAGCTTATTTCTAAATGATGACCTTTAAATGGAAGTGTTTTGATATAAATAATTCTGGCACAATGATTTATAGATAAAATAAAATAAAATGGTAATAAAACTATTTTTCTAAGCAGATTTACTGCAATATTTCATAGGACTATCTTTGTTCCTAATCTTTAAGAGTGTAAATGCAAAGGCTAGAGGAGAGAAAGACTTACAACTCAAATGGTAGGGATCATTGGCAAAGAACTGTAAAAGAGACACATTTGCATGGGTTTGAGTGTATCTTAACTTGGGTCTACTTCCATAGGCAGTAGGATTTGAGAAGAAGGAGAATCAGAGTGGCTTTTGAGCCAAAATAACCTAGACCTTTGAAAGAGTAGGAGGCTCATCTCACATCTGTGTCATACATCCTAATCAATCAACACTGAGAAACTGCCCAAGTGAACAAGTTAGAAACCAACAATGCTCTTGCAGAACAGCAAATTTCTGTTTGTTTTTTTCTTAGTTAATGCCAAGAACTATGTTTTTGTATATGGTGCTACCAGGTAATAAACATCACACTGCTAAAATGGTGCTGAAAAGAGTCATGTTAGAAAAATTCTTTCAATAAATCACTTTTTTATTGTCTGAAATAAATTTTAAAAGTTATGCTTGTAATTAACAAAAAGTGTCACAAACAAAGGACATTTTTCTTCAGTGATACATGTAATGCTAAGTAGTAATGAAGTTTTAACTATTACAACAATAAGACTCTGCTACCCTTGGTTTCAGAAATCTAACTAAAATTTTGAAAGTTCCAAAGAAGTTGACTGCCAGTTACATCTCTACAAAAATTGATAAACTCTTTTAGTAAGATGTTTATTTTCAACTAATTTGCTGTGACTTCATCAGTTAGAAATCCCAAATAGAAAATGAAAGAAATTGTCCAAATCTAAAATCCAATCCAATCATACCTCCCCATGCCTTGTACTGAATCATTCGGAATTTATCATCTTCTAAACCAGAACTGTATTTTATGAACTGTTCTTCTGATATTAGGAGCATACGTCTATGGCTTTAATGGGTAAGTAGAAAATGAATTCTAGCTACAAATACATTAGATTCAATTTGACCTTCTGATCCTATTCCCTAGACTCACAAGTCTACGTTACTATTTTTTAAAACAATCAGTCCTTTTTCTAAATTTTTTAATTTTTTTTCTCTCATTGAGTTTATTGGTACATTTTAGGTATATAGTACAGTTACATTCATCATTGGGATCTTGTATCTTCACGTGGTGTGTCTTGTTTCTCTTTTTTTCCCCTTGTCCCTGCCCTCCCTTCACTCTCTCCTCCCTTCTCTATTTACAAATACTTTATTTCCATTTTTTCATTTTCTCATATTTTTTTTCTTTTCTCTTATTACCTTTCCCCTACCCTTCCCACTTCTCCTACACCTTTAGCCCCTTTCTTCCTATTTCTTAGGATCTTATGTGCCATTATAGTTTTTCACACCAGAGAAACTATTCGGTATTTACACGTGTGTGACTTATGTATTTCACTTAGGAGTATATCTTCAATATGTATCCATTTTCCTATGAATGACTCTAATTTCTCATTCTTTATGGCTGAGTAGTATTCCATTTATAGAATTGGTCTTAAAATACAATTACGAATATTCCTTCAGTCCTTCAGGGAGAAAAAATATGAGAAAAGAAGGAAAAAAGGAAAGCAAAGCTCTTGTAAATAGGGAGGGGTAGAGGGGTGGAAGGGAGGGAAGAGGAATGGGAAAAAAACAAGAACCAAGTTATATCGTGTATAGGTACAAATCTTCAGTGATGAATGTGATCATAATATCTACCTAAAATGTACCAATAGAGTTAGTTTTTTTTAAAAAAGAGAGAAAGTTGAGCTCATGTTCACTAAGGCAGGGGAAGACACCTCCTCGTTTCTAGCCTGAGGCAGTTTACCAGTCCCCTTGATAACCAGAGAAGACAATGGGGTTTGGGTATTAAATTGCAACTCTTATTTAGAATTTTTCTGGGATTTCTCTTGGCTTCTTAAGCTATGTTTGGCATTGAGGATCTATTTCATTCTCCTCCAAAATGTACACATTTAATCCTAATTTTGCTAGCTTCTGACCATAGCCTTTCAAGGTTGAAAAATGCACCCGAATTTGATTAGCGATCATTGCTTGACTCCTCTGTACAATACTCTTAATAACAGCCTTTTCCGCTCTATTTAAATAATTTTCAGATTAGGGTCTCTTTATCTCCCCAATGATGTTGCCAAATTATTTCTTTTATCAAAGTAAATTGCTCGTAGCTTTTACATTTCTCTCATCATTTTTTCACATGATGCCCACATATATAGTGTACTTATATAACTAAAATATAATGTATATTCATTTCTTGAGCAATATCTTTTTCATGATAGAGCCACAACTGTCCCTTGTCTGTGAAACCCTACCCACAAGGGTGTCTTCTTCCCCTACTCCTGAGTTCTCCACATTCTTGGTAAAGTTTGCCACTCAGAGTTGGCACAACATAGTTTATGGGATCAAACGGGGAGATACAGATGAATGTTCTATACTATAAAATGCCTGCAACTTTGCTCTTTAAATAAGGGTAAGTCATATTTTATGGTACTTTCTTTAGGAAGTATCACAGTCTACTGTGGAAAACATGGGCTCTAAATTCAAACTTCCTGCCTGGAAAGCCTGTCCCCTTCCCACCGCTTTATCTGTTGGATATTCTTAGGTCAGGTCTTTACACCTTTCCGTTCCTCAGGATGTCAACTTGAAATACAGATCACATCAAGACCAACCACACAAGATTTTTGTGAGGCATAAATGAGACAGAAAAAGAAGGAGGGAACCATTGGCACTGTGCTTAGCACATGCAGTCCTTCTCTTTTTCAGACACACCAGCTTGCTTGTTTGCGTATTTATTCATTTGTCTCAGATCCTTTGCCCCTACCACATCCCTACATAAAATATATATGCCCTCTTTTTTTCCCAGCTGGCTCCTTCATAAAAATTTCTTCTTTATTTTTGTTTGTTTTCTTCATATCTCAGGTGAACCTCTCTGTTTTGAAAAAAAAGCCCTCTTCACCTCTGCTAAGCTACCGTCTCACATCATTGTGTTTGTTCTTTTCCCAATATTTATGACATTCTACAACTATCTTTGCTTAGTCTTTTTGTCTATCTTTATTTTTGTATTTTTTTCTGTAACAGAATGTAAACTTAATCAAAGCAAGTCCCTTATCAACTGCCTTAGCTACAGAGATGAGTACTGAACAAACTGAGTATCACATAATTATTGTTATTGTGCTCATTCTTTTAGTTTACATGAGTGCTCTCTAAAACAGGCAAATACACAAATTCACATTTTCAGAATGACAAAAACAAACAGCAAAATGAATTTCACAAGTTTAAGGGTCACTAAAATGGACCACTCTATTAAATCTCTCCAAAAAGTTCTCAATAGCTATACAGAATTCAGTTCAACAGAGCATGAAACTGCATTTCATGTGCCCGTTTGTCTGATTAGAAAATTTCAGTATGTACAGGAAAAGGAAGCATATGCTTAAAACTGAGAATGATAATACTACCAGAACAGATCTATTCAATTTGGCCTGGATTTTGCTCCACAAACAAAATTCTAAAAGAAAATAAGTAATGAAATCTCAGAGTTACAAAACAAATTCTCATTTTTACCCCTTGAAAAAATAAATGAAGAAAAGCGTGCATTAAATATTTTTTTCTGAGACCTTTGTATTGCTTTCTAATCCAAACAATTTTAATGGGAAAATCAATAAGTTCAAAGTAGAACTACTAATTGAATTATTTTTGCTTTTTCATGTAAAAGAGTATAAATCAACACTAGTTAAAACTACTGTAATTCAATTTCTGCATATCCTTCTCTTCTGAAGCAAGCATAAATTTACAGGAATGATTCAAGTGTAGAAAAAGTTTTAAATCATTTAACGTGAAGGTGTCAACTGATCCTGAATACTTTAGCAATACTTGAAATACAAGAATATTTTTCTATGTTCAAGTAATCACAACAGAACCATCAAAATAGGGAAATGAATATTGATACACTCCCACTTTCAAGTCCTTATGCTTTGTTTAGTTATTGCCAATATGTCTCAATACTACCCTCAAAGCGTAAGATACAAGGTAACGCGTCACTTATGGTTGCCACGTCTCTCTAATATCACTCACTCGAAAAAGTACTGCCATGTTGTTATTTTTTTCACTTTATTGACACCTTTCACATCTGCAGCTATTTTATAAAATGTCCCTCAGTTTGAGAATCTGTCTGATTTTTTAAACAAGTTATTAGGCTCAAGATACACACTTTTTAAAACTAGCAATGCCATAAAAATGATGCTCTTTTCTTCTTCTTTTATTTCTTATGTCTTATTCAGTGACAGGATTTATTTTTTTCTTTTTTTAAAAAAATAAAAACATGGGATGCTTCACAAATTTGCGTGTCATCCTTGTGCAGGGGCTGTGCTAATCTCTATATCGTTCCAATTTTAGTATATATGCTGCCAAACCGAGGACCAGTGACAGGATTTCCATGTGGACCTTTATGGCTGCTGTTTACTTTGATCATTTGATAAAAATAATATCCATCTCACTTTACCATTGTAACATTATTATCTTTATTTTTGCAATTATGATGTGTTTTCCGGGGAGATACTTCATGTCAGTTTTTCTTTCCTCATAAAATTTAACCTTTTCAATTCTTGATTTATACTAATTTGGACTCAAGTCCTCTGTTTTATTAAGATAAGATTGAGTACTGCAATCACGTACTGCAGTGCTATGGGACCTTTATATCCTTCTTCTCTATCATAAGCTGTATCTTTTCCAAGAAATGGAGTGAGAGTCTTGGCATTTGTTTTTAAAACATGTGTAGGAGATAAACAGTTCCTAATTCCCTAGACTTCATTGGGAGACTTTAAAATACCTCTCAGACTTATATTTTCTTTCATCGAGGCTACTGAGGCATACACCTTAGGGTGTAGGAGAGGCTCTCAAATCCAAGGCTACCACTACACACAGGAATGTCAGGGAATGTGTTCAAGGTTCTTCTCATGGTCAAACACTGGTTCTTTATAGATGAATAGTTCCTCACCTCTTTATAGGCAATCATCACTAGTTCCTCCTCCCATTTTTTTGATCAGAAGGAAAATTCTTGTTTTAACTTCTGGAGGATTCAACAACTTTTCCCACGCATACCATATCAGTGCACGAGCATTTCTTAGGCTTCTCTGTCATTAGCAACCTGAACAACATCTCTTGGTACAAAGAGGGTGGGTGGGGTGCAGAATGTTGATGAGTAAAGGAGATGTCATAATTACTGCATGATGCTTTCTGAATCTTTCTCTGAAAGCATGTGTTCCATAGTCATAATCCGACCAAAATGAGGCTCTATTTCTACAAGCTTGAAAACAATTATCCTGCCACTATCTCTAATGGCCCCCCAAGATGGTGGAAAGGAGACTGTCTTTAAACTACAAGGATATTCCAAGGCCAAGAAGGGAGAGAGAATGCTTCTCCACACGGGACATGGATAAAGCTGTTATGCTTGGCATGCTACCTCTAGGCTGCAATGGGAAGAGGTATGGAATGCGAAAGAGTAGGTGTGCCCGGCTCCAAAATGTAATGGGAACTAGAATGAGTTCAGTAGTCTTTTAGGAGTTTCCCGCATGGAGCAATTCATTATTAAGCTTGGCCTGATTAGGGCTGTTCATATGACCTGGAGGTTCATTGCAAATCCTCCTAAATCAGTGAGGATAAAGAAATTTTTAAAAATGTATTTCCAAAACTTTCAAATTTGAAAACATATCAATAAATATTATTTACTTATAATAAGAAAATATGTTGGCCTCAGAAATTTAGGGCTTGCTCCTTTACTTGAAGAAATGGCTTTAGTTCCTTTAACTTTGGAGTATGTCCAGATTATAATAATCTAAAATAACTGTAAAATAATCTAAAATGATTGTACTCAACATTCATGAAAGGGACGACCTCCTTATGCAGCAGAGCTTGGAGACTCAACAGAAGTCATTTCCCTTTCCTGTAGATATTTTAGAGTTTCAACCATTATGCGGGACTCAGTATTTTTGCTTTTTCTTTTCCTTTTTCCGCTGGCAGATGGGAATTCTCAATTAACATGTGCTGAATGAATGAGTGAATGAAATTACTATGCAAGAATCTCTGGCTAAAATATCCATTGTAGATTTTCAAATAAGGCCTCTGTTAGAGAAATGACAGATGCTTTTTTATGGACAGCTATTCACACTTTCAAACATGTTTCCCAGTCGTAGAGACTAATTCCAAGAAAAATGCAGCTCAATGATAGAAAATGTAATTTGTATGTGTAATAGTAAAATCATTCATCATGTGGAGTTGAAATTATTGACTTGAAAAAGGATTTCGTGAGTTACTTAACTCCAGAGGGTTACTGCAGAAAACAGTAACAATCTTCATAAAACAGACATAGAAAAACATTTATTTAAAAATTTAAAGATAGCATTAAATTATATTACCAACAAATACTTGGAGAAAATTATTAATAAAATATAATTTAGGAGATTTATACTACTTGGTTTTAGAAATTTAAAAGAATATAGAAACATTAAATTCAAATCTTGATATTGTTAGGATCCAGGCTCTTTTGGAGCAAAGGAAATAAAAATAGTATTTTTAAAAGGTAAGAAAAAACTTTTTTTGGTAACCAATAGGGGTAACTAAGTCAAGAGTAAGTCAGGGTAAAAACAGTTTGCAGCCAGAGTTGTTAGTGAGGGCTTCTCACTGGACCCACTGAGACAGGGAAGTTCCTTAAACATACAAAGATGCTCTCTCAAAATGGGAAAATAATGCACGTTGCATAACAACTCTTCAAATATGTACATTATCGCTTACTGATGTGGATACCAGGTTTTGAAAATAACATTCAAGATGTTGTTCAATATCATGTAAAAGCAATAATACTATTTTTCATATCAGTGTACCTCTTCCAGGGAGCAAAAGGACTTTCACATATATAAATACATTCATGGATGTGCTTTCTATTTTTATTCTATGATTCATGCCTTTTGCATAGTAATGTATCATAAATTAAGATCAATCTACAATCTATCTACTACAGTAAAAGTTGTCTGACATCATAGATATCAGGATCATCTGAGAATTTGTTCAACATTAAATTTGTGATCAGCCAACACATATTTACTAAATCTGAAACTCTGGAAATCAGGCCGAGCAATCTTTTCTTTTCAGTAATTCCTCCACTTAATTGTGATAAATCCTAAAATTTAGGAATGACTGGTTCAATTATACACTATACAAATTTAATGTTCTCTTCATTCTTTATTATTATAATTGCTTATTTGGGAATTTCATTTTGAAAAGAGGAAAAGTTTATTTCTAAAAGTTTAGAAATATTCTAAATATGAAAATGAAAACTCTCACTAACCTAATGTTTTATTATCTTTAATATATAAACACAAAACACTTTCATGTAGATAGCCAAAAGTTTTTGTTTCTCCATATATTATGTGTAAAAATATACCATACTTATCAGCTACTCAGCTAAATATCAGCATATGTTTACCATATTAAACAGATAAGTAATTGTTCAATGAAAACTTATACAATTCTAAGGTAGAAGCATTTCAACATAGCTTATAATCTATTCTAATATATTTTAAATATGGTGAAAATTTGCATATATTTACTTGGCAACGTATTATCTAGCTAACAGCTGCCGGCTGTTTAATTGCTTAACATTAGGAAATTGGAAAGTGGTGTGATTATCTATTTAAGGCCAAGCATTAATTAGGATCAAATAAATATAGTTCCTTAGATCTCTGTGGTACCTAATCTATACAAACATCTTCTAGTGATAACTCATAAACGATTAAATGAAGGCCAGATACATTAGAAGAATTTGAATCACATGCCAGAACTTAATTTTCTACTCAATTTACTTTTAAATATGTTGGTGGCAGAAAAACACATCAATAGAACTTAGATTTTAAATAAGCTTTCTCTTGTGCTCAAGCATGAACAAGGAATCCTCATAAATGAAAGGAATAGAATTTACCTAAATATGCACATTTTTGTGAGTAAAGGTTTATAATTAAAAGCCAGAAGACTTTCTTTCTAAATGTGCTCTGAAATCTCGTAAACATATCCTGAGCAACTTCCTTTATTGTGGGCCCAGACATTAAGGATGTAATTATTCTGCTAAAAGGGAGACAACAGAGGCTGCTGTCTAAAGATGAACTTTTCTCCTTGCAAAAGAGAAAGGGCTGTTTCATATCAGTAGAGATTCACTTACAAAATGGTGAATTGGAATGGGGACTCCTTTGATCTACAGGTCAGTAACACTGACCATGAATCTGCAGAAGATTTTAAGCTCCAGATATGGGGAAGGCTCTGACTCTCATTTTGAGGGCATATCCTGGCTGTGGGTTACCTGCATAATTGTTCTGACTTCTTAAAAAACTATGCTTTCTGGTAAATGATGTAGGAAATGTGACTGAGCTGGCAGCAATTCAGACAATCAACGATGAGAAATTGATTCTCACTGAGCTGGGATAATGAAACCAGATTGTGAAATGAATGGAAAGTGAAGATATTGTGCCGCAGCAGAGAAGAAAATGAATTTGTGCGATACTGAAGTGCCCTCAGTGGGCTCCTGACTAGATCAAATCTATGTAAAATGCTAATGTATAGGATCATGGCCACTTTTCTAAGAGAATATTACCTATGTCCACACTAATTAGAATTTATTACCTATTCCTTAAGGATATACAGTATATGATTAAGAGAGTATTTTCCATTTTATTAATCACTGAAGTAGTTTTCAACAGTCAAGCATAAATAAGCCCAGACACAGGTCCCTCAGATAGATACAAAGTTACAGAGAAGAGATAGGAAAAGGCAAAGGACTTCCTGCGATGCAAAACAACTTTTTCAATCATCCCAAGAATAAAAAAATATTTAATTAATTTATATTATGCAAGACAGTTAAACTCCCTTTCTCCCAACTCAATAATAAAACAAATGTATGTTTAGTGTAGAAAAATTAAAAGATTCAGATAAACAGATAAAAATAAAAGGTAGCCACATGTCACTCTCCAGACTTGACTGTTCTCAGTACAGTCCTTAGAAAAAAAAGCCACACACCTTGATAAGGGAAAAAAGAGACTAATGCCATACCTTAGAACTTGACTGCTTTGAAACTGCTAGAATTTGACACTTGCCACATCTCAGTGTAAAAATTCTGTTCCTGAACTTCTTTGTTTGGTAGGTGAAGTACAAGCCAGAATTTGCCATTGTCCAAGTGTTGATTCCCTACCCTTTCAGGCAAAAACTATTTGTTTAGTATTCATCCTTTTTGGTACTCATGTGCCTCCCGGAACCAATTAACCACAAGTAACATGGTACCACTGCCGGCCACATACAATGGCCCTATTAATCTCTGTTGTCAATCTTTGACTAGATTAAGAGGCTCCTGGAGAACTGAGTGTATGAGGAAGGTGCTA